ACAGCCTTGCTTTGCTCACATTGGTGCCATAACCACCCCAGAGTCCTTTTCACCCCCTTTTGTGCCCCCCAAAAGAATGGATCTGGTTTGTGAGCTAGCTGGGGAAGGATTCCCACGCTGGGCACAGGAGCAGGGCAGCATCACCTGCATGAGCTGGTCCCAGCTGCACCCCCAGAACTCACAGCTCTCAGTGGCACACAGGGCTGGCTGCTCGGGGCTCTGTGCTGCTCAGCAGCTGCCACATCCCCAGGGGGATCCTTGGCCAGTCCCCAGGCAAGGCTCCCAGCATCCACACCAACAGCACAGGGATGGAGCCCCAGCACTGCAGAGGAGAGCTGGGCAAAACCAGGGCCATGCTTTGGATGCAATTTGGGCTCTCTCTGCTGAGCAGGGTTTTCATTTTCAGTGTCAGCAGCCAGATTAGCAAAACTAAGCAGAAACCCCCCCAGAGCAAGAGAGCTTTTCTTAGGGAGAAGGCTGTACATTACCTAATCTCATTACAGAGATTTCAGAGGCAGCCTTGCAGAGCAGCAGCACTACATTTAACTAACTGAATATCATTCACTACGACAGAACTGAGAGAGTAAAAGGGGTACAAAATGCCAGCTGAGGCTGGAGGGCATCTATTTGCTCCCAAATGACCAGCTCCTGAAGCTGAACTGTGGCTGTGCTGAGCCACGGGAGCTCTGCTGCAGCTCACATTATCACAGAACCCAAAATCTGCCTTGCTTTGTGCACTCTCCAAACAAGCAATTTCTGGAAATGGGGACAAACAGAGAGCTTGGCTCCTGCTCACTGGGGATGGCAGCCCATATATGCAGCATGGCCCCAGATATCTTTTTTGGCAAGGCAGGATCCCAGGGTGGAGTCACTTCTAATTCCATCTCACAGCTCAGGCAGTGTTGTGCATTTCCATCACAGTGTTTGTCATTCCTTAACTCAGTGTGTATCTACAAAACACAGATGCACAGTGAGTAAATTACAACCAGGGGCAGAAAGCAAAGTACAATCAAGCCATCCTCTCTGCTGACTGTTACTCAGACAGGTCTGGAGCAAACTCATCATAGTCTCATCACCTCAAGACTGGAGCTGTTTCTCCCACTTCCTTTCCCAGTCCTGATCTCAAAGCTTTGGAGGTGATTTTGAAGCACTTTCTGTGCAACTCGAGGTGCTGCTGCTGTGACTTGGGGCTGTGCTGGTTCTCCACCCCAGTGCAGGCAGGCAGCTGGGTGAAGGCACGAGGTGACAGGCAGGGAAGCCTGCACGGATGTAGTTTGGAAGTTTCTTCAGCTGCCCTTGAAATTTTTGCCCATTGTGGGATGGCAAGGTGTTTACAACTTTGATTGCTGAATGTATCTCAGTCCATGCCCATTTTGAGTTCCAATTTCCACAGGCTGGCTGCTGGGGGAGTGGGGCTGACCATGCCTGACAGAACATCTCCTGTGAGAGCTCCAACCACTGCTGCCCTCCTTACTCTGCTGACATCTGGCAGAAGTGTGTGGCAAAGCTTCATTTTTATAAAGCTCCTCCCAAGTTCTGCTGCTCTGCTGCTGTATATTGATCCCATAAATCACAGGACTAGGGGAAGTATGGAGGAGGGCAAGGAGGAGGACTTTCCACTTGTTATCCTGTTCAGAATACAACACCAGCTTTGCCAGAAGAAAAACCTTCAAAGCCACGGGGCTGCAGAGCAGCAAAGCAATGGCATTTCCATGCTGGGGCTTTCTGCCCTGGTTTTAAAGCTGTTCAGTTTGACACAGATGTTCCCAGAGCATCGGAGGGGGACGAGGAGCCAGCAGAGCACAGGCTGCTGGCTCTGGGCTCACAGAGAGATGCAGCTCCTGCTGCCAGGGCTTTCGGGCTGGTTTTGGCTGTGGTCAGGGGGAGCTGCACTTGCTGCTCAAAGAGCACAAAACATCAGCAAAAGCAGCAAAATCCACCTGAGCTCCCAGCAGAGGGCAAGGAGCCTGTGCATGCAGCTGCACTTGCTATAATGGATCCACACAGATGGATCCTATTGGTAAATTCCAGCTTAGCCAAAGAAACTTTGCCTTTTGCTTCCTTTTTAGTGCCATAATAAATTTTGTGTCCACTTTTGAAAGGTTGGAGCACTGTGTGAAGGTCTAGAGCACTCAAAGGCATTTAAAGTTCATGAAATCAGCTGTAAATTTGGAAATAAAGACTGGGAACTATGAGACAATAAAAGAAGTAAAAGGAATAGCAGTCAGCACATTCAAAACACTGCACTGAGCTGCCCTGGGACCATGAGCATCACTGGGAAACTCTTACCTGCTCTTTGCAGATAGATCTTAAATTCAGATTTCCACAGGGTTCTGTTACTGAGAACAATGAAATTCAAGCCAACTGAAGTCAAAATTAATATAAATAAGCTTTGAGCTGATGGCCAATTGCTGGGCAAGAGCTTTAAGCTCTCTACCAGAATTAAAGGACATTTCTTTGATACTAAATATTACAGGCCCAGTGCAGACAGGCACTGAGCACCTTCAGCTTCTGGCCTCACTGTCAGGTTTGGCTGAACCCAAATCACCAGAAATTCCACACAATTGAAAGCACAGAAAAATATCTGCCCGAACCTCTAGATGATAATATGAGTAAGCATTAAATAGCTCTCAATAGCTCTCATCAGTAAGTCCTTTTTTTACCCCTAAGTTTGTGATTTAAGATAATCTACAGGCTTTACATGCACTGTAAGCTCATGCACACAGCCCTTGTACCATGGGCTCTGCCCAAAAGACAAAATTTATGATGACTGGATTTTATTTTTAAGCAGAAAGGTTATTCCCAACAAGGTCTCTACACCAGGATTTCACAGAGAAAGATATTTCTAAAGAATTGAACATAAAAGCTTGATGGAGAATTTCAAAATGAATTAAGGATGAAAGGCCTCTGTGCTCATTTGAAGCTTTCTGAGTGCTTTTTAAAATCTAAACCAATTGAAGATGTCAATTTGCCTTGAACCCCAAACCACTTCCCCATGTAAAGAAAGAAATTTTGTGGAAACAAGAACATTCTAGATGAAAAAAAAAAAACCTAAAAAGCCTTTTTTCCTTTCTGATGAGACGAGAAAACCTTTTTGTTCCAAGCCCTTAATTGAGCTGTGTTTTTCAGCCAGCTGTGTGTTTTACAGCAGTTAGCACTCGTGTCACAGCCACATCCCTCCAGAGGTTCTGCATCTACCCCAAGCACGAGGAGACACCTCCTGTCACAATCGGAGCAATTTCCAACCAGCTCTGCAGAGGAAAAGGCACCTGGAAATGTCCCTGGCTGCTCCAGTGAATGCTGTGCTCACCTCCAGTTATTTGGTCACCTCAGCCTCAGGGTGCCCAGGCAGGGGAGGCTCCTGGAAGCCTCTCAAAATGTTCTGATGGGGCAAACATCGTTGTGAGGAACCCTTTTAGTGCAGATAAATTATTTCTGCAGAAAATAAGAGCACAGCAGGGCCCCGGGTGCTAATCAAAGCACACGGTGCTTCAGGAGAACATTCTTCCCAAAGAAATTGCTGCAGAACTGCAACAGTCCAGGCTGTGCTGTAGTTCCTGCAAGAACACACTCCTTTCTTGTGAGGCTTGGGGGTTTCACTCCTTCCTGATGAATATAAAAACTACAACAGCCAGAAGCCATTTTTCCAGAAGGATTTTTGCTTGAGAAATAATTCTGCTGTCATTTTCTGTGCATCATTTGATGCATTACGTATCATGTATTTTTTTTCCCTAATCTGACTCTTTGTTTCTTTGTTCCATTAAGTAGAAGAACTTAATACTGGTAATTCTCACTGTTGGAAAGAAAAAATCCCCACGGGGCTGGAATTATTTGGTGGAATTCTATAAGCTGTTAAAGCCATACAGAATCACAACAGTCCTTTTCCGATTCTTTTAAAATCATTATTTGTGAATGCTATCTTGTATTTTTTCTTACTCAGGGAAGTGGTTTCCAGTAAGGTTACAATCAGGACGATCCCTAAACTAAATTTCATTTTTTACTTCCATTTGTGATTATGTGACTGCCTTAGGAAAAGCATTGATAGGAATTTCTGGAGATTAAAACTGAAAAAGCATCAAGCTCCAGCAAAATGGAGATATTTGGGTTGGCTTTGGAGGATCCACTGAACACAGAAAGCTTTTCTGTAGCTTTCTGCAGCTAAATGTACCTGAAGGCCCTTCAATAAATACAACTGCTTTTTATTCCCTTAATTTTGTCTGCCCTCTGTTTTCAGGTAGCCCCAAAAGGCACCACCTGCAGGACTGGCTGCAGCAGAGGAGCTGTGCTGCCCTGGCAGTGCCACCCAGCAGCCTCTCAGCAGGCTGGCAGCCCTGCCCTGCAGCTGCTGGGCAATGCTGGCCCAGCCCAGCCCTCCAGGCAGCTGTGCAGCTGAGAGGCACAGCTGGAAAGGTGCTGGGGAACATCTGGAGGAGCAGGGCTCACAGCAGAGCTGCTTTTGCACTGAATGCAATCCATGCACAGAGGGCTGTCGCCCTGATTCTTAAGATTTTCTAAAGCCTTCTGAGTTTACATTCTGTTAGAAAACTTTCCCACACATTTTCTATAAACAACATATTGTTTTGCATTCCTGGTGGGGGTGAAGGAAGTTGAGTTTGTCCAATGTCATTGGAGAGGTGGCCCATTCACTCTCCAATCCACTGTCACCTTTGGAAAAGCATAAAAGTTGAAGTCAGAAAAGAAACCTTCTTCTTTTTTACCTTGCCATCGCAGTGGCTCGTGTTGTGCTTTCTCGTGTCCTATAGCGACAGAGGGCCTGAGGTGAAATTACCCAGGCACTTTAAAAGTGGGACAGGATAAAAACAACCCTCAGTGTGTTGTGTGTACAGCCGCACCTCACTCACCCAAAATCCCCTCTCCTCACGCCGGGGGAACGGGAGCAGGGTTGATTTGCAGGAGCTGATTTAGTGGTTACTCCAGGCCGTTCTCCTTGTGCAGATGCAATGTGAAGAGGCAGAAGGCAGTGGGTGGCAGGAGCTTACCTTGATGACGTCCTCCCCGGAGGATTTGCACTCCACGGCCTCGGAGATGTCCGTCACAGCGCTGTTCTCCTCGATGGACACCACCTTGACGGGCACCGCCACCGTCCTGCCCGTCAGCATGGCCGTGTTCAGGATCTCGGTGTCCTGCAGCCAAACAGAGCACAGCACTGCTCACAGCACCTCGGGGAGCCCACCCCAGAGAGCAGCACCCTGCTGGAAGGCAGGGACCCCCAGCCCCGCTTCAGCTGCTGCATAAACACTCACAGCAAAAAGGGCAACCCCGGCTCAGCGAGGAAATGATGATGTGTGCTCCACATCAGGAGGCTGAAGGATACCTTCATTAAATCTATACTATGTTGCATTAATATACTATTTCAAGAGATACTATTCTACATACTTACTCCTTACCTATTTAACTAATTAATAAGCTCATGACTCTGCTGAGAGCCCGAGCCACAGCTGGGTCCCTTTGGTCACTGACCCCAAACAACTTCCCCAGAATCCAGCCCAGCCATCCCTGCAGGTGA